AGGGGCGGGGAGTTTGGCTGCCACGGCAACGGCCACCACTGAGACCCTCGGCCCACAGCTGGCAGTGGCAGGAGATGGTGTGGCAGGCTGCCAGGCTTGCCGAGACACGCAGGACCCCTCGCAGACGGATGCACAGGGTTCACGGCATTGGCTCGGGCCCTCAGCACAGGTGGGATGCACCCGAAAATGCATTTTGCCTGGGAGCAAGATATGACAACTAAGTATACTACAAATGACCCCCCCGGGGGTCCCCTGCCACCCACAGTCATGCTAACTCTTGGCTAGCACTTCTAGAGAAAATTACCTATAGAGAAATGCTTAATCCAAAAAAAAAAAAATCACAGGCTCCCAATGAAATTGCAGAGAATTCTCAGCCAATAGTTGTTGCAGAGATAATTGTTCTGAATCTATCAATAAAGCTGAGCTGCCCCTTCATTGACTGCAAACACCAATTTCTTTCACCCAGGATTATAAGTTGGTGTTCACAGGCTCACTCCTGCCATTACCGTGATAAACAGTTGAAACCACAACAGGGTCTGACATGTAGATCAATTCTGGGTCCATAAAGAATCTACACAAGAGGTTCCAGGACAGGAATTTACAGCCACCAGTTTTTATTCTCTCTTGCTGCAAAAATTACTTCTGTCAAACACTTAGGAGAGTGAGGAAAAATGTAAAAAAATTAATTTTTCATGTACTACCGGAACAGCCTTTTTCAACGCAGAAGCTCAAGATGAATACGTTTCTGCATTTAAAAAATTACGCTGAGCAGCCTGTGGTGCTTAGCTGGAGCGGGCCCCAAGCCTCTGGGCTGCAAGCCGGCAGACAGCAATCTGAAACCCTGAGCTGAGCTGTCTGCATTTCCTCTAAGGGCAGATGCGGGTCTCACGTTAGCAACGCCAAATTATATTAGACATCTAATTTTAAACCTCAGGTACTTAAATGTAAAACCTTACAGCAGTAATAGTCATAAAGCAGTGGGGCATTGCATTTCACAGAATGGAGTCTTCTTTCTTCCCCCCTTAATTTAACCAGAACCTCCTGTTTTGTAGTTTCACACACCACAAAGTCATCTATCTAATTAGGAGTTGCTCACAGCTGCTTAAAAGACAGAAACCCCCGGGGTACCTGTGCGTCTAAAGGGGAAGACTTTACAGAGTTCTCTGGAGCCAAAGTCTTAATTTAGTGTGGACAAGGGGGCAGGGAAAAATGGAACCCCAACGTCATGTATTATCATGTACAATAAAAATGTGGGACAATGGGAAGGCATATTCACCAACACATGGTCATTTGGATTCAAAAGCTGCTTACTTCTCCCTGTCCCTGCTGCTAGCACAGTGTAAGCTTTTTTATGACCCTGACATCCAAACCAGAGACTGGGGTGAGGGAGAGAAAATGATTAAAAAAAAAAAAAAAAGAGGGTGGAGTTTGTATTTCACTGCGACGTAAAGAGAAAAAGCATGACAGAGAGCTCTTAATCGTTGTTTGTTTCTTTTGTGATTATTTTCCAAGCATGGCAGGGAACGTGGATGCCCAAGTTGAGGTCTTGAAATCCATTCATAAGTGTGTTTCCTTGAAGTCAGCTGTCGGATCCTGTGCCCTCATTTTACTAGCAACGGCTCGGCGTCTGGCAGGACGGTACTAACGGGAGGGAAGCCAGGACGTTACTCTGGCCGCAGGCAGACAGGGCTACTCCACACGCAGGCGGACCCGAATGGCCCAGGATTCTTGACGACGTGCACTCTGACCCAGGAAGTCCTGCTGGAGCCTGGGACTCTGCATTTCTAGGCAACTCCCAGGGGCTGTCAGATACCAGTCAGTCTGTGGACCACACTCAGAAGCAAGGATTTCGAGCAATGGTTCTCAAACTTCAGCATGCAGCATCATTCCGTGGAGGGTTTGCTGGCACAAAGGTTGCTGGGCCCCACCCCTGAGTTTCAGATTCAGTGGGTCTGGGATGGGACTTACGAATCTGCATTTCTAACCAGTTCCCAGGGGATGCTGCCGCCACAGGTCTGGGAAGCATATCTTGAGAGGTGCTGATGTAGACTCTAAGGCCTAGAATCAGGCCACCTGGGTTCACATCCCAGCCTTACCAGGACGTGACTCTGGACAAGCAGCATTGAACCCTTCTGTACCAGAGTCTCCCCACCTGGAAAGTGGAGCTAAGAGCAGTATCCACTCCACGGGGATCAAATGCCCTCAATAAATATTAGCTCTCGTTATCATTACTACTGTTTCTCTTTTCAATCATATCTTGGGTGTGACATACCAGCCATCCTTCGAAAATACAGGCGTCAAGGAAGATGCCTGAGAAACTATAGGAATCTTACTTCTGTACAACATTCCGTTTTCTCTCTGGATCTCTGCTATTTAAAATGTCAGCTGTAAGCCTTAAAATAAGATGCTAATTGATTGTGCGATTCTGACCCGTTAATACTCATCTCTCTTCTTCCTCTCTGTCCTCATTTTCCTGTATCCCAACTAATACCTTGCACTTCCTTGTGGCCCCTCGACTGTTCCACGTTGCCCTTTCCTCCTCTTCAAGTCTCTGTCCAAACTGCCTTCATGTTTAGAACAACTTCCTCCTGTGGTTTTGCACACACACAATCCATCTGGTTCTTGAAACGCTGCTCAAGTTTCAGTCTCTTTGGGAAGTTTTCCTTGATTAACTCTCTCCATCCTTAAACTACCTGCACAATTTCACCCCGGGCTTTCTCCATTCACATCCCGCAGTAGGCTCGTGCCAGGGCACAGACTGGCTTCTCATCTCCTGTGTTCACGGTTCAAGCTCTGGGGCATCAGGAAGCCTAGCTAGTCTAGTCTTTCACAAACACACAATGTGATCGAACAATGGACACCCGGTGCACTGGCATGTGAGAAATCGATTTGTAAATTTAAAAACAGCGTTCACCCGTAGGCAACCTCAGTCATACAGGTACTTTATAAATATGCCCGTACGGACCAATACGATCACCTTCCGTGGGAAGAGGCTTCTCAGCAAGTCAAGGGTCTGGCACTCACGGAGTCCCTGATGTGACGGTGTGGAGGTGCCCTGGCATACACACATGACCAGATGCAAAGAGCTCTCGGGTAGACGGGAAGTTAGCTAGGGAGTCTTTATCAAAGAGATAATTATGCGAATGGAATATCTGTCAAGTGTGGGTTTTAGGTTAATAGGCTGCTTCCAATGCTTTTTCTGGAGGAATATTCTGAGTGTGGGGGGAGGCAAAGACTTGGGGTGAGGATCTTGCTTAGGAACTTGTTCTTCTATCCCCTCCCCAAATATAACTCCTACGGCGCATAAGGAACAGAACCTAGAGACCGCCGCCCTCATCAGGTGTGGTGGTGACTCAGCAGTTCTCACTCACAAGAGGAAAGCTTTAGAAAGGGTGCTGCCGGGCAAAGCAGCGTGTGCACCAGGCCGGGAAGAGCCAGCTGATGACTCCTGCCCCCCTCAAATGTGGGAGCGCACCTTCTCAGAGGGTGCCGGAATGAACCCACTCAGACAGTAAGGGTAATGCTCGTCGAAAAACGGCTGCATTTCCAAGTATTTGATAATGCAATTAAGCATGTGAACTGCTTGCCCCCCTAAAAAAAGTAACCATGGCAACCACAGCAGATGCTCAGTGACAGAAGCCACAGATGGACACTGCCCTACATACCTACTGACCACGCAAGAGAGAGAAGGACACACCCATTTAAGATTAGAACACAGAGGCTTGCAGAGGTAAGGCCGCCTGTCAAGGCCACCTGCTTGGCAGGTCGGGGGCCTCTGCCTGGAGCACGGACGTGTCTGCTGAGGAGGCCCGCACCAGGCCTGCCGGGGCACCTGACGACTATGAATGCACAGCTGTCGCGTTACAAGGGAATAAACTGTACGCGGTTCATTTATAATGACTTTAGCCTCTTCATTGAGCGTCTTAAGGTGCTGTCATGATTTCAGACGAAAGGTGGAAAGCCCAGTCCCTGAAGAGGCTGGAGACAGACGTTCGTTCTCTACCGAAGCATCCTGTTTTGTCTGAGGAAGGAGCCGGGAGCGTGCTGGGCACAGGGCAATGCCGTCCGTGCGCCCCAGGCCTGCGCCGCTGTGGCACCCGCTGGAGCTGCCTTTCGAGACCTCACTCCTCCTCCTTGGTTTGGAGATGCCTTTTCTTTAAGGCCTCTGCTCGGCAGTGTCTGATGGAGGAGCATGGAGTAACTAGAAATAAGATGATGTTTATCCAAAGCACACGTCCTGCTGCAGCAGCTCTGGTCTACAGGGAAGACCTGATGCTGAATCTTTTAATTAGGACAAATTATGCTACTATTACTCTAAAACCCTGTCTGAGAGATGACACACTACAAGTGGGAATTCCTTTAAATACCGGTGAACAGGTCATAGACAAAATGCCACAGGCAAAGCATGTTGTGGTAAAGTGCAGCCTCAACGCTGCATAGTTCACGCACTCACACATTTGTCAAGATAGTTTCCAGCGTGCACATCTGTTTCCCTAGAAGCTGCCCACACTTTAAAAAAAAAAAAAAAAAGGCAAGAGGGAAGACTCTCCAAAACTTAGATGATATACCAGGAATCTTGGAAAACGGATAAGGAGAATGAATTATGTGTTTTCCTTTGATGCAAAAACACCGCAAAGCCTAACCACATAAAAGGCACACTAATGATGGAAAGTGTAGGCCACCTCATGTAGGGAAGTGTGGTCAGGGGCATACCACCTGCAGTCGGGTCTCAGCCCTGCCTGCGGTCTCAGTTTCCAAATCTGTCAAGTGGGAACGAACATCTACTGCTCCCTGCACCAAAGAAGGTCACGAGATGCTGTGGGTGAGATAGCCGATCGAGGATAAAGTGCTCCACGGGCGGAAGGCGGGCCAGGCATCGTCGACAGGGTGGCCGCCCTCAGAGCGGAGCTCGGAGAGCTCGGGGCGTCACGTCCAGCCCCTGGCTTACAACCGAGGACCGCGAGGTGGCCGCAGGTCCGTGGGGCTGTGCCCTCTCTTACCACTGCTGATGGCTGAGTTTGCAATGACCGTAGCCTCGCTCCACTGGTCGGCACTGGAGACAGAGTAGGACCGTTGCTGCATGCCGTCCGGTCGGCTGTTGAAGGAGCCCAGGCTGACGCCGCTCGCCATCTGAGACCCAGGCGCACTAGTGACATTCCCTAGGAATAAACAAGTCAGGTGAACACCAGCGCGCACTGCACACCCGAACCGGCACGAGTTAGTCTAGGGGCTTACACGCCTGCACACCGTGGACCTGACACCGAGAGCAGCCGGCGTCCCGATACAGGGCAAGTGGAAGCATCACATGAAACCATGTTCCAGAGGAAAATAGGGTGAAGCAGGTCTTATGGTGCTTGACAAAGGAACCCGATGCTTCCGATGGCTACACCCACCACAGTCCAAGACAAAGATGCACACCACCACCGCCGCCATCTCTAGACGGAGTAGCGGTGAAGACAAAAGATCCACTTTTGGGAAAAGCGATATTCCTGGCAGGCCAGCGAGCCGGGCACTGAGGAGCCCTGCTGCATCCACACATCAATGGAAATGAAATGATCACCAGTCGGGGGTCAACTGTCTGATGCCAGAGGATTACTTTCGCGGGGAAGCTATACTTTATGATCAACACAAATGGAAGTTGTCAGATGCGACATCGCTGGAAACGCAGACTCTTAAACCAGGTAAGTTTACTCTTAACCTTGAGAAGACCGCGCAGAGGAAAAGTAACCTTAGCAACTTCACAGCACGCACACAGACTGTGAAGGAAAATGGTCCCGTCGTACACGTAATGATTTGAATCAGTTGCTCAACATCAAAATGAATTATCGTCTATCTGGTCACCCCAATTCTAGACTCAAAAACATAATTAAGTGCCTTTCTCCAAAGCTCAGCCAATCACACCTTGCTGCCAGTCAGTTCGTTTGTTAGATCTGTAGGCAGATCTTCAAAGGTATTATAGGTTTCTTTTCTTAAACGTTCCTCCCATTGTTTTAGTTTAAAACCAATTAAGTTCAAAATTGTTTTCACAGAAGGTTTTCATAGCACAAGATTTTAAATACACAGACCAATTACCAGAATTACCCGTGGAGCTTTTTAAAAATAGAGGCTTCAAGAAATTCAAATTTCGATTCAGGAGGTCGGGGGATAGAGCTTGAGGGGATACGCATTTTCAAAGGGACTTCGGTGATTCTGGTGAGCAGCAGGAGGTAGGAAGCAGGGCTCCGCCACGAACACGGTCCTCACTGTAATCGCCCAGAGCATCCGGAGTGACAAAATCATCAGTGAAACACAAACATGAGCCAATAGGACAAACGAGCGGTTAACGGACAGGAAGGATTTTGCTTTGAAAAATGTATTTCCACCTTAAAAAATGAGGCCGATTTTACGCTGTTGGGGGAACTGGGTACGTTTTGAATGTCGTAAAAGTAAGTATTCCAAGGCAGGTTTACCGGATTCCAGAAAAAAAGCCAGAAGTACCACCTAAGAGAGGAAGAATGGGAGCCCATGTATCTTCCCAAGTGCGGGCCTCATAGCAGAAGCAGCTGCACCGCCTGGGAGCGTCTTCGAAAGGCAGGCTCCCTGGCCTCACCCCCGCCCCTGCTTTTTTTTTTTTTTTTTTTTTTTGGGGGTCCGCGGGCCTCTCACTGTTGTGGCCTCTCCCGTTGCGGAGCACAGGTTCCGGACGCGCAGGCTCAGCGGCCACGGCTCACGGGCCCAGCCGCTCCGCGGCATGTGGGATCTTCCCGGACCGGGACACGAACCTGTGTCCCCTGCATCGGCAGGCAGACTCTCAACCACTGCGCCACCAGGGAAGCCCGCCCCTGCTTTTTAATAAGAGCCCCAGGTGACATGTGCACACGTAAAAATATGAGTGGGCCTGCAGGAGAGCTCTGATTGATTTAAAAACCAAACACTTAAACCAAAAATAACCATGGACACGAAACAAAAACTACAACGAAAGCTCTTCCCTGCCGCGGACACTGAGATCGAAGATGCTCCCGGGAAGGGCACCCGCCCTGGCTCCTCAGCTGAGCTGCAGAGGGTCTTGAGCCAGTTTCCCGTCTCCCTCCCAACTCTGATGTTCTGATTTTAGGACCTGTCCGAGCCCTAAAAACGTGGAAACTCATGCATCCTGAATGGCAGCGTCAGCCAGAGCTGGCGCCCGCTCCAGCACCGGTCCTCAGCAGCCTGGGTAGCAGGGCCAGGTGCGTAGCATCTCACAGGTACAGAGTAGTCAAGCCTCAGAGAGGCAGCGCTAAGGGACACACCACACGCTCCTCCGGGTTTTCTCCACGTGTCATCCATCATTTAGGGCGCCCTGGAGCTGTCTTCTGGGTGCGCTTCTCCTCGGCCAGATCCCTGTACAATAGGGCACTGTAACAGCTGGACAGCATACGCCCCGCAGCTGAGCAGGCGTACCTGTCGGGCAGCATGGCAGGGCCTCCTCCTGACCCTGTGCTGACACCCGCGTCTGCCACCACCTTCTCCCCACACCTTCTATGCCCTGCTCCCTTCTGAGGAGGGCACCTGTTGGGTTACCTCTGGCTCCCAGCTGGGCTGAACGAGGGGGAGGCACAGGAGTGTGAAGTGGGGATGTGCACCCCTGGCCCCCCTCCCTGAGCGGGCGCCCTGGGCCACCCCCGCCCTCCTTTCCCTTCGGGTCCGTGGTGGTCCTGGTGCCACTCTGCCAGCCCTGGTGCCTGTACTACCTCCCGGCTTCTCTCTGCCCACACCTCTGTCCCTTTGCAAAGAAACCCTTCTGAGCAGGAGGGTGTGGGCCTCTGCCTTCCTTTCCCTGTGGACTCTGGTCCCACACGCCCACCATTTAAGAGGGGTTCACAACTTCTCCTGAGGCTCTGAGGCCCCTTCCACTTTCACCACGTGAATTCATAAAAACACTAACATTAAGGGACTTCCCTGGTGGCACAGGGGTTAAGAATCCACCTGCCAATGCAGGCAACAGGGGTTCAAGCCCTGGCCCGGGAAGATCCCACATGCCGCAGAGAGACTAAGCCTGTGCACCACAACTACTGAGCCTGTGCGCCTAGAGCCCATGAGCCACAACTACTGAACCCACGTGCCACAACTACTGAGCCCGCGTGCCACAACTACTGAGCCCGCGTGCCACAACTACTGAGCCCGTAAGCCACAACTACTGAGCCCACGTGCCACAACTACTGAGCCTGTGCGCCTAGAGCCCGTGCTCTGCAACAAGAGAAGCCACCGCAATGAGAAGCACACGTACTGCAACGAAGAGTAGCCCCTGCTCACCGCAACTAGAGAAAGCCCATGCGCAGCAACAGAGACCCAATGCAGCCAAAAATAAGTAAATAAATAAATAAATAGATAAAAACTAATTGTATGAAAAAAGAGCTTTATTTTTTTAAAAAAGCTAACATTTTTATGGTGGGTGGAAGGAAAAGGAAGTGATGGAAAGAGAATAGGAGAAAAAGTACAATGAGAAGCTGCATGTGGGCTGCGACCCCACTCTGAGCCGGGCCCCCTGAGCCCGTGCTGCCCACGGGGACACCTACTGTTTGGTGCACACGTCAGGGGGATGATTCCTTCCTCCCTTCAGCGCTCATCTGTACCCCTGACAAGTCGTTATCAAGGGTGGGATTTGTCCACAAAACCTCATTTCATACCACCTGTAGGCACACAAGGCAAAACACCTGAAAAACCAAAAATAAATTCACCATCCATCCGCCTTTGGGCAGATGAGTCCAGCAGTGCCCCTTCCCTTGTTCACTCTGTGGCTCCGAGGACGACCAGCCCCAGACCCTCCTGACATACTCCAGTCAAAAGGCGGAGAGGATTATCTTAGTGCGTCCAGCACTGACTACTTGGTGCCAAAGTCCAGGAATAAGTAGCCACAGGCACTCAGGACAGCCAAGTCCATCTGAGCTCTGGGTCAGGGACGCAGGAAACATTCCAACAGAGACATTGGATAAAGAGGTAGTCTTAGGATGACAAGTTCTTCATCTTAAGGCTAAACGTCTACCAGGGAAAGAGTAGATTCCTTAAAATGTACAAGCTACTGAAAAACTATGTGATGCTGACCATACAATCTGTTTTTTAAACGTCCAGCTGTTCGTCGAATGGAATTTTCAGCACATTAAGCTGCTGGTGGATCCACTCTGGGGTGTAGCTCCTGAGGGGGCCCCCAAGGAACCAAACTGAGATCTCTGGGGTAAAGGAACTCCTGTCAAGGCTGTGTGGTCCTGGTGTCTGATTGCAGAATCCGTACGAAACCCAAAACAGCTGCATGGAATCATTCCGAAAGCCCACCCTGAGGGCCTTCCAGCTGGCGAGGCTCTTCTTATCCCAACCACACCCAATTCCCAATTGTCAGACTAAACAGAGACACCACAACGCCATGACTGAATTTTGACCAAATGAATGTGTGTACATGGACACGTGGTTATGGAAGTAAAACTTTAAAACAGATCCATAATCTTGGGGCCTGGCGTCGGGGTTGAGCTCATAGATGTGTTTTTGCTGAGGGGGAAATGATTTCTTTTTTAAGTGGAATTAAATTTGGGAGTGTGCATCTAAAAATCTGTGGTTTCTGGCATTGTTGGAAAAATAAGAATATGTGGCAGCCATGGGCCTATGTTTATGCTCAGAAACAGTCAGTTGACTCCATGCCTCGAATCTGTCTGGGTTGTGTCTGAATCTACCCGGCAAGAAGCCAGGGCCCACACCAGCTCTCCTACCCCCCCAAATTCACTCAATTACCTGCCTGCCTAGTTCCTGATCTTTGGTGACCAAGAGTTACAAAATCTTCCAAAAATATACAGAGGCCGATTCTCATTTCAGAAGGAAAACATGTCTCATTTTCTCTCAAGAGAGTCAATCTCTTTTTTATACATGCCCATTCACTTTAATTTCAGTTAAAATGTTTCTGAAAATCAAATAATGAAAGATCAACTAATTGTGACGTAAGGAAACAAAAAAAATTGTGAAGGGTAAGAAATATCGTTTCTGCCCTAAATATGTATACTTTGGAGTTCCACAAACAGGTGCTTGCCTGTAAATGTGAATGCATAAAGACACACGTTCCAACTCTGAAGCAAACCAGTGGTCCGCAGGCTTGGTCACGACACTGTGAAAGTAGCCTTGCTGGCTTAGCGTGGCTCGTGACACATCTTGGCCCAAG